ATTCTGTTGCCCACATGAAGACGTATAGTTTCACTCTAGACACCCCCGGTGTCCTCCAGGTCAGAGATGAATCCCAGCCTCTTCCCCACTAGAGAGTTATCTGTGCTGTTCAGGAGCTCTTCAGGGTCAAGGAATCATGTTTGCTCCTTTCAGCATCTGATCCTACCTCATTAACTTTGCACTGGATGAGCATCCATATAGCACTGAGTGTGGTTTAGTGGTCTAGAGCTAAGAGTATAATGCCATTTAAAGTGTCTTAAATTTGCCTCCTGGTGCAGAAGGCCATGGGTCTTCTGTAGATGCTATGACAGATTTGCCAGCCCTGTGCCCATGTCTGGGAAACCTAGGGTATCTCAAATGTCACTAAACGCCTAGTTTTAGGCAACTGAATTGAATCCTGGAACCTGAATAAATCTTATTAGAGCCTTGTAAAGGCACAGTTCCTCACTTCCAAATATATACCCAAATAATAGAAATAACTTCCATCAATATTAAATAATTCAGAATATCAAATATTGTATTAACTAACTAGGTACATTCAGTGAAGTGTCACTACCACAGAGCCTGGGCGGTTTCTTGAAGACTTGAGCCCCACTACAGTCAGCCTGCAGAAAGCTTCTGTGTTCTGGCTGTGTCACATCTTTGAGCTCAGTTGGCCCAGCCTGATGTGAGTTTTACCTGGAGAAGACCTTGGACAGACAGCTGGCTCAAATTTGCCATTGCCCTCCCTTCTGGGACAGAAGGTAATTGTTGGTGATTTCTCTGAAGAAGGCAGATGTGGAGCTACTTCTAGAGATAGCGAAGCTCTTTGTCACTGCTGTGGCTCATCAGAGACACTGTCATCTATGTGACATGGTGACAGCTCTATGCACTGCAAAACTACACCAAGCTTTTTATTTTCTTTCATTTTTCTCCCCACTACCTGCACATCCCCTGTAGCTATCAGCAGTTTGTAGCACTGACATTCTTTTTTTTCAATGTTCTCCTGAACACAGCATCACCAGGTATCATAGGAACCGTTCTTTCATTTATCACTTACAAATAGTTGCCAAAGTCTGCTTTTATGACATTTTAATTATGGTCTTACCATATTGAAGCTGTTTCCTCTCTGGACTATGCACAGACATGATCAGGATGAGCACTTGTGAGCAAAAATCCTGTACAGTGAGACCTGCTCAATGTAGCAGGTACTACATTGATTCATCCTTGGATATTCCTATATGAGGTGCCATGTCTAGTGAAAAGAGGTTTGGTATGTATCATCCTGATCTATTTTCAAGAAAAACCTATTTGGGAGACACAGAATAAAACATTAGCAAATGTTCCTAGGTGTTTTCCAGGCAACTGAGATAAATCTATGCCTACCATCTAAAAACAAATCTTCTATAGCTTGTTTATATTTTTTTTAATATCTAAGTGCACTCCTATTTACTTCTAAATCCTACTTACTTCTAAAGATATTTTTCTGTAGCTCCATAGGTATTAGCATACCCATGCCTTTTAAAAAATCCCCTCTAATCCTGAGAGATCCCATTGACATTGATAACTGGAATTAGGAATATGCAGTCTAAAATACTGTTTGGTAATATCTGGTCGCTTTCTGTGCAAGCTCCTTCTGAGAAACAGCTCTTACTATCACATAGTCCTAAGATTGATTGCACAGGTATTAAAGATTAGATTGATATGCACATAATCAGCCTCTAGTTTTGTACCCAAATGCTTTTGTTAGTGTCCTCTTCTACCTTTTCAGTAGATGAGGCTGAAAAATTGACATCAAATTTTAGGGTGTCCAACAAGTTGACTGGACTCCTTTGGTTATGGCAATAAGTTAATTTATGGTCAAGTTTAGATTTTATTGGCCTTTTGCATGTAAAGAGAAACCTCAAAGCAAAACTTCCTTCTCTATTTGAGCGCATTGCCAAATTCTTTTATTAGCTCCTCTGCTGCATAAGCAATTGGTCTTCAAGAGGACTGACATATGTAAGAAAAATGCTCCATCCTTTCCCCTGCAGTGCCCACGAGGCATAGCCACTCTCTCAGCAGAAACCACCACCTAAGTAAAAGAACAACAAGTCTACCCAGCTTCTATTTCTAGCCTTTGCCTTTGAGGAAATTTCCCATGGGCATTAAGCCCGTGTGTCACTGGATCACTTTCAGTTCTGTTCTGTACTGTGTCGAGCGCTTCTGTCCCTTATCTCATACTCAGTTGTTTTGATAATTTTGCTTCCCCAGTGACTATGCTCCTTTTTCCTTCATGCTGCTTTCTGTGGTGCTAAGGGTGAACATCAGGTGTGATTTTAGGAGACCAATTCAGGAGACCAATTTAAATCACGGCTCTAAACTTTCCAGAGCCACTGTTCAGGCAGTGTCTTAGCTCAGCCGCAGGGCTGGTGCCTGGGGCTAGGGAAGGGAGGGCAGGAGGCTGGTGCAGAGCGGGCAGCTGCCAGGAGCACAGCAAGGCAGAGCTGGGGTGCCTTCTGTGTATCCTCCCTGTGCTGCCCCAGCCCCAGCCCCACTCCAGTGTGTTTGCCTGGACGCATCCCTCAGTGGTTGGGAGATACACTCCCAGGGACTTGCTGCGGAAGGGACAGGACATATGCTGGGGATGCCTATTTTACTTTCTTCTCTGATACCAGTGTCCCATGATATTTACCTGTTGTCTTTTTTGCCTCAGCTATTTGCTCAGCTTCCCTATTTTCACCTATTTACTGTATGATAACGAAGAAAAATGTAGTAGCACAGAAATACAAGTAGATGTAGTTAACTCAGAGAGTCCTCAAAGCCTTGTAGCGAATCAGCATTACTTCTGTGAATTTGAATGTACTTGGCAGAAAGAATCCACAATAGGTATTATGCTCTGGAAACGCAAGCCTTCTCCTGCCTGGTCAGAACATGGGTCTGTTGCCCATTTTGTCTCTTATGCTGCTTTCTAAGCTGGCCACTTAGCAGGAGGGTAAAGCCATGAAGGACTGAAACATAATTATGCCTTTAGGACACGCTTTGCAGAGAGCCTCCAGTGGGTGAATAATCCCATGATTAGCTGGAGGATGGAAAGTGATTCTGGGGTAACTGGAGCTGGTTCTTTTATGAGCTGATGAATTCTGAGAGACACGCGTTCTTTTAAAAGAGCTTTGGAAGAGACTTCTGAAATATGAAATGTGTTACATTATGTTGCATCATGTACATGTTTTCAAACTGGGTTATAACTAGTAAGATTCTGTGCCACAGAAATAACCATTTCAATGCTATAATCTCATTCAACAATCTGGAAAGCTGCTGTTCTCTAACTCTTGAGTAAAAATGAGAGCTAGCTATATTGGGCAAGTTACATTTCTGATTCTTTCTAAAGGTACCTAAGATCATAGCAGGCTTTTTAAGTTCTTCATACAAGGGCATGCTGTTTTTTTATAGTGGTTTACCAGCAAGGCGTGCAAAACATGGGTGCAGACACAGAGGTTTGCAATACAGAAATATCTCTCCCACCACTGTGACTTTTTATCTTTTTCTTGTGAACACTGATTAGATATTTTGTTTACATTTGACACTTGCACGTTCTAGGGTTTTCTGCATCTGAATCCTGCACCCTCAAAAATAATTGCCAAGAAAATGCAAATTGCTCTGCCTTCCATGTGTGTAGCTTGTCTTTTGTCTCAGGCGTTCCTAAACTTTTCAGACAACAGATGCCTGCCAATTCCCAGTGGCTCTCATAAACCTCATGAATGAATCTTTTTCAGTCTTTCAACTGAAAATGTTACCTGGGCAGTGTAATTCTGCAGAGGATTTGCTGGCTGGTGTTGTATCTTGGTCCACAGTTTGGGAATGGCTTTTATACTCTACATGCCCTGAGTTTTCCCTCTCACTGGTGTTCTGTGAAGCCTTTTCATGTGGCCCTTGTATTCGTTCTCCCTTTTGTTCACCTGCTTGAAGATGGCGAGTTTCATTCTTCTCACATATTTCCTTTTATTTTTTTCTTTAAAGTTG